TTTTTTTTAAATAGTTTTTATTTACATGACTTTGTAAATAGTACCCGGCCAATTCAGCTCTTTGGCTGCGATTTATCTTTGTTTAATACACTATCTATAAGTCTAACTATACGCTCGAGGATGAGGGACTTGGACATATGACGGACAACCCGTTGTGTGCGATGTAACAAGCGCAACAAGACAAAATTAAACCGACCAATTTTATGAAAACTCAATCTCGTACCCAGAGTCTGAGCAATACACTACCACTGCGCATGCTCACAACTAATTACATGCGTATTTCATTCAATCCTTCTTCTTAACAAGATGCAATTATTTGTAATTAAGTTTTTCAGACTCACTCTCGCTACACTGGAAGCAATGTTAAATGTCCTGAGAAACCGTTTCTGTCAGGTTGTTTTACAAAGCGTCCACTTCGGGTAGCGAAGGCTTGACTTAACCGATACATATTGTTGGACTTGTTCGGATGGTGCTTTGACTACTCCTAATTATTCTTCGACGCATAAGTGCAATGTTAGGATCTGTGTCTTTTTGTCTTAGCTTTTCCAAGGTCTTCTATGAAGCCTTTGCTGGATGGAAGCTTTGGGAGCTCATTGCGTACCTAAACCAAACTGTTGTGCTAATGATCTTAGTACTTAGGAAAGATTTGATTTTGCTCTTTCCTTGCGCAATCTTTCTGGCAAACGCGAATTTAGAATAATATGCTGCGACGAGTAGGATTGCGGATCCTTGTAGTGTGGCGAGGAGTTATTTCTGTCTGTTCTTTCGGAACTGTAAGTTTCGCGATAGATTCACAGGCAAACTACAGCTAATTATCAATGTTGGCATATCGTTTTTCTGTATCACTTGGGACTTGCTTGTGAAAGGAACAGGTTTCTGGTCTGGTAATAAGGATGTGCCTAGTCCTTAAAGAGATGTTTAACTGTTGGCAGATTTGGATTTTTACTTGTCGAGAATGTCCTTGTACAACATTGATTGTTGTATATTCAGTTGGTCTCTGAGTCTGGCAAGTACAAGTGGAGTTTGCTTGTATAACGTGATTTCTGATCCAATGATTCCACTAATACAAAGAAGTGTTTAATAAAGACACGGAATTTATCTTGTCAATACTCGAATATAAAATATATCTATATCTAGAGCTTTGTGGTTACCACATATATAATACAGYATATTAGTGTTCTATGTTTTGTTTTTGACGTACATTACGTGCGGTAGTTTCGAATTAAAAAGTTTGAAAAATTGCCGACGATGATTAAGTACACGTTTTTAGCAATTAAACCTGTATAACGTACGTCACAGAGGAAATTTTACGAAAACAGTAGAAAGTTGAACTTATTCTCTCTTTCAATTTTAATTTTAAATTTTCATCAATCCAACGTGATTTAAAGGTGATTTTATGGGGGTCTTCGTTTTGGATATTTGGGGGGGTTTTGTCCAAAACGAAGACCCTGGCAAAAAAGCCCCAAATTGGCTATTCTTGTTGTAGTTGACATTTGTTACACATACTTTGTTTGTTCTGAAAGTTAGAAATGGTTTAAACGTGATTTAAAGGCGATTTTATAGGGGTCTTCGTTTTGGATATTTGGTTGTCCAAAACNAATTATTGCGCAAGGTTTAGCTTTAAATTCATTTAACTTCATAATGACATTTTCCTATGTAGTTTTCTGGCATCAAAGTCTTGCGTTCAATAACATGTAATATTTGGGCGGGATAAAATTGTAATTTTCGTTTCGTCAGTATTTTTGTGAGAAAAAGTATTTTCCTTCAATTCTGTGTGGATATCAGAATGTGAACATGTTATGCAATGCCATAACATCGTAACTTTCCAAGTGTAAAGTAGCCTTTTTCATATCTTGGATCTCCTGTGTCACCAAACCGTAGTTGGGAGACTGGGAGAGTTGCCTTATCTGTGAGCCAGCCACTGTCTTCCCGCCAAACTCCGTCATTGACRTCACAATTGCAGCCAAGCCCGGAATGACAGCTCTTTGTCATCCCACATGCGCACTTCCAAGATCCAGGCGCAGCACCTCCCCAGTAGTCCATCTTYCGTCCGTCACGTGACACCCACCAGCCATAGGGAACCAAGCCGTGCCAAAGGAGAACTGAGTGACGACATTCATACTTGATGAACTGTTCACAATACTTTGACACGTTGATAAGGGAGACGATTTGTTGCTTGTTGGTATGTGTGTAGTTGATATTTTGAAGAAAGCTACCTGTGTAATTTAAACGCTTTTAGGGACGGACCATTTAACTTTTGAGGGGGGTGGATGATTTCTTGAGAGCAAGATTTTTTTTCTTCGTGTTTGATGGTCCGTCCCTTAGAAACTGAGAGCATATGAATTATGACCAATTATGTCAAGACATGAAACCTTTTGGGATGAATACACCATCTATAGTAGATATGGCCGCCTGTTGCCCTCATACATCCCGCTCAATCCTCGTGATCCCGCACTAGAAGAAGACAGCTTACCTGGTCTGGAATATCCCTCGACTATGGATCGTTCTTCATTATCATGACTGACTTCAGTAACACCAACGTTCTTTTTAGAATCCATATCACAAGATATTCYGAATTCTGCTACACCRCCAGGTCCATCGGGATCAATAACGTAATCTCCACTGAGACTCTCGCCCGCTACCTTCCACTCGCTGCATGATCTTACATAAACGCCTAAAGACATTGACGTTTTAAGAGAATCCAGCGCATTTTTAGCAGTGCATGTGTATTCGGCAGCATCTGACTTTGAYGTTATTAGGATAACCAAAGTCCCATTTGGTAGAACTTGGTGTTGGTCAATTTGACCACCATTGTTTATCGTCCAGGATATTTCTGGCTTAACAACTCCACTCCACGCCTGGCAGTCGAACGAGAGAGATTGAGTGATATAGCCGATCGCTCGTGGCCGAGGTTKAATTATRAATTTGAGTTTTTCTAAGACAACGACATCGGCTTTAGCTTCAACTYTGTTAACAATGTTTTTAGCAATACATGTGTAAACACCGCTGTCGTTGCTGAAAGGCTTTGAGATCACCAGTGTGCTTACGTTCGTTTTGATCATGATTCCACGATTTGTTTTGTTCCCTTTGTACCAGGTGATGGTCGGGGGAGGAAAACCTTTTGCTCTACAATGGAGTTTTATTCGGCTGCCCGAATTGACTGCAACGTTGCTTGGTTTAGTTTCAAACTTTACAGGTACTAGAGAGAGACAAACATTTATGAAAGATTTATAATACACTGATGTATTACAAAGTCATTGGGATGGGAACGTTTCCATGTATCAAAGCAAAGTGAAGAGTAAACGTTTGTGAATCAAMTTCGGCAACAAAGGGGCACCATATAAGTCAAATATATGTCAAAAACGGCTATGAAAACACTTATTAAAAAGTAATTTGCTTAAATAAAGCAAACACATCATGTCAACATGCAAAAGACGAGTAGAAGGTGCTACGCATGCTATAAAGTGGATTGGTGTTGTGAGATTGATTTGGGATTTGAAATGTCAATACATAMTAAAATATTGATACTATAAAGACTCTCTTGCATCCGAGAGCCATTGCGATCGTTCTTAAAAAGATCTATTGTTAAAAGTTGCTTTCTGATTGGTTCAAAATTACTCCAATTCACGTGGGCCTGTCTCTAATATGTCGCAGTAACACATGTGCAAACGCGCGAACTACTGGATATGAGTACTTACAGATTATCTCAAACGAAAAAAAGGCTTTTGCCTCCCCAAGAACATTTTTTGCCAGGCAAACATAAACACCTTGCTGTCCAATCACAGCTTGCGTAATCGTRAGAGTTCCATTGTCATGGATCACGTGATATCCAGAAGGCAACGCTCCAGAAAGTCGGTACCAGGTTATWCGCGGCGTTGGCAGACCTTCTGCTTCACACGAGAAAGAGATTGACGTTTGTCCTGGTTTGACAATCATAGACTTGGGCGGCTTTCTKATTATTGGTACTGAGACAGATATTCCGGGATCACCTAAGAATAACAAGTTGATTTTCAGTAAGTTTCATTGCTCGTGATCCTGTCAARAGGATTTGAGTTGGGGGAAATATTGGTGTCAGCAGGACCAGCCGAAAAGA